TATATATATATATATATTGGACATACCATTAAACTCTTTGAATTGCTTTGAAGTACCTGAATACAGTAATCACTCAGTATCATGGTGTACTTCACCCTACCGTGGTATTACTGTGTTGGAGAAGTACAGAGGTTGTTATTTTTTATGTGATCACTCTTATTGTGTCTGTGTGTGAGTTGGCGGGAATAGATTCTTCCTCCTATAGTATTGGCTCAACCGTGTTCTTGCGCAATAGTTTTATGATGGCTCTGTTAAACTGCTGTCTTAATATATCCTCATGTACACTGTGTGTGTATATCAGGGTTCAATTGATAGAGGATTGCTATTTCACAAAACATTGAAGACACTGTAAACAATGACGCATACACTACCGTTCAAAAGTTTGTGGTAAGATTTTTTTATGTTTTTGAAATAAGACAAGTCTCTTATGCTCACCAATGCTGCATTTATTTGATAAAAACAGTATAAAAATAGTGTGAAATATTATCACAATTTAAAAGAACTGTTTTCTATTTGAATGCATTTAAAAATGTAATTTATTCCTGTGATGCAAAGCTGAATTTTCAGCATCATTACTCCAGTCCTCAGTGTCACATGATCCTCCAGAAATTATTCTAATATGCCGATTTGCATGTGGAAACCACAGTACATTTTTAGTGTTCTTTGATGAATAGAAAGTTCAAACAAACAGCAGTTATTAGAATTTTTAAACAATGTAAAAGTCTTTACGGTCACTGTCACAAAAAAAAGTCTTACTGAAAATCATATTTTTGAACAGTTGTGTACTTTTTACAAATTTTTATGACTAGAATTAATGTCACGAATGAAGCATACGTCTGCAAAAAAGCACACACACATTCCCATCTGATCCATTTTTTGTTTTTCTGCAGATTAACCATCATGCCTTGGGAGGAGCTGGTTTCACTGCTGGCTGTCGTCACCATGGTGATGTGAAGACGGCAGTGACTGACTGTGATGGACAGGTGTAAGCACGTGGATCGCTTAAGGCTCGCGCAGGACCACTCGATCCTGAACCCGCAGAAATGGCACTGTGTGGACTGCAACACCACCGAGTCGGTGTGGGCATGTCTCAGCTGTTCGCATGTAGCGTGTGGACGCTACATAGAAGAACATGCGCTTCAGCACTTTAAGGTATGTTTAAATGATGATGAGGTAGTTGATCTTGAAATTACACACTTCACCTTTAGATATAAACGTGAATATCTATTAAAAAAAAAAGATCTACCCTATTGTCAGACTGTCTAATTTTATAAGACTATTTCTTCGATGTTGTATTCACACTGAAGTTTATTCTTTCGTAGGACCAGCACCACCCTTTGGCCCTGGAGGTGAATGAATTGTATGTATACTGCTACTTATGCGATGACTACGTGCTGAATGATAATGCGACGGGTGACTTGAAGCTGCTGCGTAGCACGCTAAGTGCCATTAAGAGCCAATGCTATGAAGTCACTACGCGCAGTGGCCGCACTTTGCGCTCGTCCTCCGCCGCAGGAGACCAGTTGTCAGCTAGCACGCAGGAGCTGCAGTTGCGCGACGAGGACCGCATGTTCACGGCACTGTGGCACCGCCGTCGTGCCCTAATTGGCCGTGTATTCCGCTTGTGGTTTGCACAAACGGAAAGGGGGAGGAAGCAGTTGGAGGAGGAGCGGCAACAGGAGGAAGAGGAGGAGAGGAAGCGGGAGGCACGGGAAAGAAGGTGGCAACTCAAAAGGCAGCTGAAGGAGGAGCTGGAAAGCGCACCTCCCAGGAAGAGCCATCGCATTCGTCGGCAGAGCTTAAAGGCAGCTTCTGCGGATGCCACGGCAAAGTCAGCCAAAAGCATCAAACCTGTGAGGCGTAGGTCTGCTCCTGCTCGCGTCTCTGCCCCTACTCCACGAACTCCTAGAGAGAGAACGCCTCAACAGAGGCCCCGTCCACAACCCAAGGCCAAAAGGCCCCGGGCCCCACCTCCTAAAACAGGTGATTCGCCTATCAAACGGCGGCCCACTGTAACTCCAGGAGTCACGGGTTTGCGCAACCTTGGCAATACTTGCTACATGAACTCAATATTGCAGGTTCTGAGTCACTTGCATGTATTCCGGGAGTGCTTTTTGAGGCTGGATCTGAACCAAGCACTGGAGCTGCTAGCCTCTGCGGTCAGCCGCAAGTTAGGACTCTCTACACAGCGTGTGACCCAGCCCAAAGGCTCCATCCAGGGGTCAGGGCTCAGCGGAGGGGCCTCCCGTTCACGCAACATGGAGCTCATACAACCCAAGGAGCCCAGCTCCAAACACATCTCGCTTTGTCACGAATTACACACACTGTTCCAAGTGATGTGGTCAGGCAAGTGGGCTCTGGTGTCCCCGTTTGCAATGCTGCACTCCGTGTGGCAGCTGATCCCGGCGTTCCGGGGTTATGCGCAGCAGGATGCACAGGAATTTCTTTGCGAACTCTTAGATAAAGTACAGCATGAGCTGGAACGGACCCGAACGCTAACACCTGCCACTGTTCCGGCCAATCAGAGACGGCTTATCAAACAGGTGCTCAGCGTGGTCAACACAATCTTTCATGGCCAGCTCCTCAGTCAGGTAATGAGTTTGCATGCACACACAATGAAATTAACTGATTAACATGTAAACATTAAGGCATCAACAAACTCTATGAAAAGTACACCGACTTGGCCAATGGATTACAAGGGTGCAGTCTTGTTGTACATACTTAACAAATATCCTTGCGCTGTTGTGGCGGTAACAAACCTCCATACTCAAGGGGGTGATTACATTCAAACGTCAGCGTTACCTTAAAGGTGCAATAGGTGATTGTCTTCAGAAACATTTTTTGTTATGCTGGTCGGTCCGAGCATTTTAATATGCTTTCCTACCTGCCTGTCAACGTATGTATTTGCATACCTCTGCGCACCCGGTTCGCGCAGACAGGATACGTCATCATATTGTAGTAATGTTGTTTCTGGTCTGTGAGTGTAAATGCGTTCAGGGGGCGTGGCTTTGGACGGCAATTGCAGGGAGGGTGGGACGTTCGCTTTCAGTGCTATCAGGCTAAAGTTAGCATTTTCCAAGATCTCCTACTGCACCTTTAAATCTGTTGTTCTGACTTGTCAATAGTTCACCTGAAAGGCCCTGTCCCAAACGGTGTACCTGTGAATTCTACAAGACCGTAGGGCAGGGGTGTCCACTTCTGCTCCTGAAGGGCCAAAGGCCTGCAGAGATTAGCTCCAGCATGCTCCAATACACATGCCTGAAAGTTCGGGTTTGAGTGTTTTATTTGGGGTTGGAGCTAAATTCTTCAGGACAGGGGCCTCCAGAAGCAGGATTGGACACCCCTGCCATAGGGTGTCCATTTGACATTTCTAGTTTCAGAAGGGTGCTCAGAAGTGCCCCCCTTTGAAGCTGCTATAGGCCATTGATGTGCACTTTTGTGGAGCCCATGTTAGTGCAGGCTCGGCAAAATTGCACATGAACAACGATTACCCAAAAGTCTAAGTGAAATTATGAAGGACAGCAAGGGATAAGGGTGGCATTTGGGACAGGGCCAAAAAAATTGACCACAGATTGAACACACTGCACACGCTGGACGTTGCATTCTCAGTGTTGCCACAAGGGGTGCTGTATTGGGTACTACAGTGCCTTTGTGCCAACACTGAAAAAGCCATATGTGCTTGCATTCTGACAAATTTCACTTGCTTCTGCATATGCAAGGTTGATTTAATTTGCATTCACATACTTCAGTAGAGTGTTTTTTCCTTAATCACTTTTCGCATATACCGGATACAGTTTTTCAAAAAATCCTTTTCTCTTATTCTGTTAGGTGAGGTGTTTAGCATGTGATCATCGCTCAAACACAATAGAGCCCTTCTGGGATCTTTCTTTGGAATTCCCGGAACGTTACCACTGCAACAGTAAGGATGCGGCACAGGTTCCGTGTGGGTTGACCGAGATGCTGGCCAAGTTTACAGAAACCGAGGCTTTGGAGGGAGCGATATATGCTTGCGACCACTGCAACAGTGAGTTGGAAACACACTAACATGCAATATCACTGTTAGAAAACCTATGGGATAGTAAATAGCCTGGAATTTGAAGGGGATATCATGGCACTCAAAGGTGAAGTGTGTTATTTCTGCACAAGTAGTGACCAGTAAATGTTTTTGTTTTTTTTCCCAAGCACGGTTACTACCCAGTGACCGTCTTTTGATTGGCCAGTCAAACAGATGACACCTAAACTCACATCATTGGCTGAGCCTAAAGTTGTTGTCGAGCTCCTTAAACAAAGAGAGCAATATTTTGAAAGCGTCACAGTGTTTACACCCTTCAGGATATTAACACTTTAATGGTTGACTTATAGTTGTCTAAACATTAAACTGGGTTAAAAGAAAGTCCTACAATATCAGAAGAACACGCCTTACTTTTAAGTTTTGCTTTAAAGCTCCTCCCGAGGAGTTAATCCCACACGTTAAAAATGCTTTGATGCACTAAAGTTCTCATTTGGCTCTCTTCAAGGCAAACAACGGCGATTCTGTTCAAAGCAGGTGGTCTTGACTGAAGCTCAAAAACAGCTGATGGTTCACAAACTGCCTCATGTTCTCAGGCTGCACCTCAAACGCTTCAGGTACCCACACGTTTACATGACCTTGAACTGCTGGATTTTCCCAGCTTTGAGCTTGCTGTTATCATCCGAATGTTAATGCATACATATGTATGTTTAGGTGGTCTGGGCGAAACCACAGGGAGAAGATTGGCGTTCACGTTCATTTTGAGCAGGAGCTGAACATGGAACCCTACTGCTGCAAAGACTCCAGTAACTTACCCCACCCTCAACACTTCCTCTACCAACTCTCTGCTGTCGTCATGCATCATGGGAAGGGATTTGGCTCTGGCCACTACACTGCCTTTTGTTATAATACAGAAGGAGGTAAAACATTCTACTTCTCATCTGCCACTTCTGAATGGCCTAGTCTGTCAATCGGTTTTGAATGCAGTAGATACATTATTAGAAGAAAAGAAAAAAAGGTAAACACGGTACTTTTGCAAGATTTGTGTAAGTATACCAGAAGAGGGCATGACGTAGCTATCGTAAACCACATTATCCTCTGTCTTTTCAGGGTTTTGGGTGCACTGTAACGACTCCAAACTGAGTGTGTGTGCCGTGGAGGAAGTGTGTAAGGCCCAGGCCTACATTCTCTTCTACACACAGAGAAACTCTCAGGACAAAAGCAAAGCCAGTGACCTCTGACCCCTTCTAAATACCCCGTCAACCACAGAGACTGTTTGTTTTGTACATTCTGTTAATATAGTTTTGAGATGGTTAGCGTGTGTCTCCTTTTTCTAGTGTACAGCAAATGTGGAGTGTATGTTTTTGTCACGCACACTTATGCCTTACAGTTTTACAACCGACAGATTTCGGTAGGAGGCATTCTTGGCAGTGATTGTAGCATTCGTTTGTGCGCGTGTACGAAGAGAGTGAAGTTGGTCCAAGTCGGAAGCATTAATGCCACTCTCGTCAGTGTCTGTATGTATCCCCGATTGTTTTCCACAAACCAAAGTCGAGTTGTGAATGTGTAACGAGCCTGAAATCTTTGTAGCGTCAGTATGAAAGGAGGTGTAAGAAACAGATGTTTTTTTTCTCTTCATATTGCAAGTGTTTTAATATCTTCAACCAGATTTTTAAAGTGCCCTGCCAAGTCAGATTAAAGATGTCTAGACTTTTAAACAAGACTCGATTCAGGATTCAGTCACCTTCTCAGAATGTAGTTTTATACCTGGTATTTGGGTAGACGATTTGTTTTTTCCATTTTACAGGAAAATGTAAAAGATTTTTTCACCAGCAAAAGACAATGTATGCTGTATATTCTTCCCTGTCTGTGTGTGGCGTTAAAGACTGTTCTCACTTTGTTGGATGTTTGTGTTTGTGCAACTCTCACACACACACTTGCTTGGATATCTTACGCTCCACATCTTGTTTGTTCAAATCCATTTTCCTCCTCCGCTTTCAAGCAGGTATAGATGTAAAACTATGCAAACTGTTACCTCAATTCCTAGAGAAATTTACCTCAATAAAAGGAGAATATTTTTGCATTTTTCTAAACACCTTGTCAGCTGTTTTCTTTATGGTTTTAAAGATTCTTAACTTTGGTGAAATTCAGTTTATGAAATGTGCATGTCCCTTGATATAATTTTTTGAACAACTGAAAACAAGGATTTATTCATAAAACATGGGCAGAATGAATTTCTCGTTGGTAAACCATTCTTACATAATTGTTGCATTCAATGTGTAAATCGTTCATAAAACCTAAAACTGCTGCATTGTACTAAAGTGTAAATGTTCGCAAAACCTAAAAACATTTTTTGCATAAATTGCAACATATACGGAGTAAAACTGTATAGCTGCATTGTGCCAAATGTAAAATGTGAAAATAAGTACAATGCATAAATTATTAATAAACCATTCTTATGTAGTAGTCTCATTCAATGCACAAATAGTTCAGAAACCTAAAGCTAGTTTAAATGCTTTGAACGAAATCCATAAAATGCGTAAATAGTTCACAAAACCATTCCAATGTAATTACAGGAATGCGTAAAATGTCTGCAAAACCTAAAAACATTCTCGCGTAAATTGCCGCATACAATGCAAAAATTATTCATAAATCTAAAACTACTACTGAGTAAATAGCTATATCATGCCAAATGCATAAATGTAAAATGTGCATTTATACAATGTATAAATTAATTAATTCTCACATAAATTGCAAACAACGAAGAAATAACAACATTTAGGTTATTCAAATCTTAAAACAGTTATGTTTCCTCGTGACGCCAAAGCTACTATTTGAAAATGCTTCCAGCTTTAAAGTTTGCCCTCTTAATAAACATACTAAATGCTAATTTCAGGAATAATAATCATGTCATGGACCGCAAACAATTTGAAGTATTATACAATTTATTTAGTCTTTTTTTTTTTAATTCAGGGAGTTCCGTAAATTGCCGCATACAATGCAAAAATTATTCATAAATCTAAAACTACTACTGAGTAAATAGCTATATCATGCCAAATGCATAAATGTAAAATGTGCATTTATACAATGTATAAATTAATTAATTCTCACATAAATTGCAAACAACGAAGAAATAACAACATTTAGGTTATTCAAATCGTAAAACAGTTACGTTTCCTCGTGACGCCAAAGCTACTATTTGAAAATGCTTCCAGTTTTAAAGTTTGCCCTCTTAATAAACATACTAAATGCTAATTTCAGGAATAATAATCATGTCATGGACCGCAAACAATTTGAAGTATTATACAATTTATTTAGTCTTTTTTTTTTTAATTCAGGGAGTTCAAAATACTAGATGAGACAGTCATTTGATATTATACAAATATCAAAACAACTGTACAAGCTGTGCGCATTACGGATTCATTTCCTGATGAATTTGTTTTTCTCGCAAAAGCCCTTCAGTGAAGTGTAAAGCCAAGCAGCCATACTCTTTACATTCTCTCATTCACTACACAGAGTACAAATGAGTATGAAGTCTCTATCTCGCTCACTTCGAAAACAGATTACTTCGGGCACTGGCTCGTACCCATGCATAGTAGTTTCATGCCTAACTTAATGCTGAACCGTCACAGCAGCATTTAGTTAACAGCAGTTTGGATTTTAAACTAGTTTATTCTTTTAAGAATGCCTATATATGTGTGTGTGTTTTTGCATGGGCCTGGAGTGTGAGTGTTTATGCATATGTACATCTCGGTAGTCGTCTCCGCGGCTCACGACTTCCTTGCATGTAGGTCTGAGCAGGATGGTGTGTTCGAACTGAGCCGTGTACGAGCCCTTGGCGTCACAGAGAGGGGGGTAGGGGTCGATGATGCCCAGGTCACACAGCTTCTTCAGGGCCATCAGGTACTTGCTTTCACCCAAACGGTCGAGCCAGCGGCGACAGAACGCCAGGGTGCCGAAATTCTCGTTCACTACGTTTAGTAAGTGCTTTGCCCTGGGCAGCCTGAAGTTCATTACAGAAAGATTGCAAAAATGTCTTTCAATTTATTAATCCAGTCTATTGAGACTAGACGAATCAACTATTCCTTTAAGAGTGTTAATGTAGCATGTGCATGTCTCTTAATATTTTTGATTAACAATTCAAAACAACGGTTTTCATCCATAAAACATGAGCAGAACTTTTTTTTTTTTGTAATTTGTTTATAAACCATTATTATATAATGGTCTCATTCTATGCAAATTTGTTCTTAAAACCTAAAACTATAGTAAAATGAATGTGCAATGCATAAATTAATAAAAAAAATTTTTATCGCATTTAATGCAAAAATTGTTTACAAAACCTAAAAACATTCTTGCATATGACGCATGAATCATTTGTAACCCTAGCAGCACTGTTGTGTAAATAGCTACACTGTGCTAAATGCACAAATGTAAAATGCATACAATGCGTAAATTAATAATAAAAACCATTCTTATGAAATTGTCGCATTCAGTGCATAAATGTTTTAGGTTTTGCAAACAATTCCTGCATATAATGAATAAATCAATGAATAATGAATAAACCTAAAGTTGTTGTGTAAATAGCTGCATCATGCTAAATGCATAAAATGCGCAAATAATTAAACCATTCTTATGAAATTGTCGCATTCAATGTGTAAAGGTTTCTAGGATATGTGAACAATTCTTGCATGTAAAGCATAAATCATTTGTAAACAAAACTGCACTGTGTTAAATGCATAAATGTAAAATGTGTATATGCATACATTGCATACATTTTTAAGAAAATCATTCTTAAGAAATTGTCAGATTCGATCCATAAATGGTCGCCAAACCTAAAGAAATTCTCGCATGCATCATTCATAAATGCATTGTGCATTGTGCCAAATGCATAAATATAAAATGCGTAAATGCAAACAACGTGTACATTTTTAATAAAACCATTCTTATGAAATTGCTGCAATAAATGAATATATTGTTCATAAAACCTAAAAAAACTCCATGCGTTCATTTAAACGTATGAACAGCTGATTATCATTGGCTCTTACCTGATTGGCACATGTCCAACATCAAAGTTCTTCATGTAATGTGGGCAGTCCATGTCATCATGCACCACTCCTTTACCGGTGCTGCCGAACGTCTCAATAGCATACACTTCCCCCTCCTGGATGTGAATGGAAATTAATCGAGAGGCAGTCAAAATATATTTATTCTATATACAAGATGATGAATGTAACAAATTCCCATTTCAGTCTTTCAGCTATTTAAATTCCCAAGTTTCAGTTCTCAGAAAGTATAATCACAACTTGCGCAATTAGCTTTTTAGCTTTGCGGTAAGCAATGAAGATACGCTAGTATACTACAGTAAGTACTGGGGCTTTCCAAATAGAAAAGATTTTCGAATATATGTTATGTTTAAGGAACTATAATCATGTCATATTTCAAGACATGGTTACACCCTTGTTCCGGTTAATATGTAGCCTAAAAGGTCAAGATGAGTGCATTGCATTATGGGATACAGTTTTCCATGCAGTGCATAAATAGTAAGAGTAATCTAGCATGAAATTCCATGCATACTGCACAAAGTATACATACTGCATAAATAGTTAGAGTAGTATAGGGCTGTCAAAATGACTGAAAGGAATGCAACGTTTTTGCATTCGAATGTGGATTTTTTTTTTTATTCGATGAATATTCGAAATTCAAAAAAAATGTTGACAGCCCTAGAGTAGTATGCTATTCCAGACATAGCCGAACTGATACGGATACCTTCAATGCAATTCAAATGAGATGTCAATAACAAACACACACACACACCTCCATTCTAGTGGCTTCTCCTCCCTTCACTATAGGCACTGTTTTACCGGCATGTATCCGATACGGACCAATAGAGTGTCCGTTCAGATTCCGAATAGGTTTGACTGAGGGAACACACACAAAAGGAGCTGCACTTAGGGGATTAAAATTAGTATTAAGAATTTGCAATCATTTATTTCAGTCAATACCTTGATACGTTTTCCCATCTATTTCAACCTCGTACGACTCCATCACTTCCTGTATTGATTCTCCAACATCGCAAAGGCGTACATCTATACCTGCACACTGTGGAAAGAGAAAATGTTACTTATACAGGCACATGAAAACTTTATCATGTCGATCACACACACACTCACCTTGATGCCCGTGTTGGTGGCATCTCTCACAGCCTCGAGCAAGCGGTCATACTTTGGATTGAAGGTGACAGTGAAGGCACAGTCAATGATTCTGCCTAAAACAAATCAATCTTGCACACATCGTCATACTGGAGGACAGTAGGGTCTCCAGCGTTTGGCGTGTAGTGAGCAGCACAGTTATTCAGCGAGCACCCGGTAGGAAACGCCAGCCCTGCGTTCAAACCGCTCTCTTTGATCAACTTCCTACTGCAGTCCTCCAAACGCTCACTGAGAAAACATGAAAATGGAATGGGTTATGAGCTGCCAACTAGGAGTCATTAATATCAAAATCAAATGGCAAAATTGGACACTTGAGCTTGATTTCTTTTATGAAAAGCATCATGTCCAACTGATATTTTCAAACCAAGTCAGGGAAGTTAATTTAGGGCTGGGCGATATAGCTAAAAAATTTATCAACGATATAATGTTTCATATCGTTCGGTATCGATAATTATTGACATTTTTTTATAACCTTTTTTAAAACAAAGAGCAATAAACATTTTTTTTTTTTTTAACCACTGTATTTTTAAATTAACCCAATTTATTGAGACAAATAACAAATATTTTTTGTTTTAACAGTCAAACACAACATAAAAATTAAACAAATATCTCATTTCTAATGTTTTACATGCAGATTAAATAGGTCTTAAGGAAACTTTTGGCTTGTTTCCCCGAGGCCACAGGAGGGCGCAATGAGCAAAATAATGCAGCACATTTAAATTATCAACGCAAGGAAATAACTGTCTATAAAAAACGTGCATTACATATAAATTATCTCATATAAATCAACTATAATTTCGTAAACTGCATAAACAATTATGTACAGAACAGCATCATGTAGTTATGCATTGCTTAATCCAAAGAGCCGAAGCC